GTGCTTCTTCCGAACGCGGATTTAGCATTGCTGGAAGATTTTTAGAACAACGAAGAACGTGTTTGAATCCAGAAAATGTCGATTCATTATTATTTTTGCATCATATAATATTAATTTTACATTTATATTTTTTTCATAAATATTCAATATGATCAAATAAATTGTCCATAATTTACATTGATTATTTTTATACTTATATTAATTTCCTAAATTATAAACTTTTGTAGAGGAGTAATGAAATATTTTTATTAAATGCTTAAAAAATGAAAGAATGACCATAATTAAATTTTATAAGCGGGCTTGGGTTACAAATTTTTTATAAATAATGGGAGGGCAGGTAAAAAAATTTAGACTAATGGGCAGGCGGAGGGGTAAGGAATTTTAGAAAAATGGGCGTGGCGGGCGGGTATATATTTTTTTGAAAACTATGGGCGGGCTGGGCGGGCAAAATTTTTTTTAAAACATTGGATGGGCGGGCTTTTAGTCCAAAAACCCGCCTAATGCAGACCTCTAATCTTTACTAAAATTTTAACTTAACATGTTTACAATATATATTTTTATCTATTTACTTGAAAAAAATTCAAAAAAGTTAATAACGATTATGACAATTGTCACTTTTCTATGGTACATCTTCACTGAAATTTTATTTTAACATCTTTGCAATATATATTTTTACCTATTTACTTGAAAAAAATTCAAAAAAGTTCACAAATAACGATTATGACAATTGTCACTTTTCTATTGTATATCTTGACTGAAATTTTATTTTAACATCTTTACAATATATATTTTTACCTATTTACTTTTAAAAAAATCAAAAAAGTTAAAAAATAACGATTATGACAATTATCACTTTTCTATGGTAAATCTTGACTGAAATTTTATTTTATTATCTTTACAATTTAAATTTTTACCTATTTGCTATGAAAAAATTTTAAAAAGTTAAAAAATAACGATTATGACAATTGTCACTTTTCTATGGTACATCTTCACTGAAATTTTATTTTAAAATCTTTAAAATATATATTTTTACCTATTTACTTTTCAAAAATAACGATTATGACAATTAATATTTTTATCTATGATGGTACATCTTCACTGAAATTTTATTTTTACATCTTTACAATATATATTTTTACCTAAAAAATTTAAAAAATGTTCAAAAATAACGATTATGTATGATTTAATTTAGCCGACTTAATTAGTTCTTTTAGTCGACTAAATTAGTCGTTTTAGTCGACTATGTTAGTCGTTTTAGTCGACTATATTAGTCGTTTTAGTAGACTATATTAGTCGCTTTAGTCGACTATATTAGTTGTTTAAGACTAAATTAGTCGTTTTGGTCGACTAAATTTAGTCGATTAACAACACTACATAGTAGGCAATAGCTTCGCTTACTGATCCCATGGTCACGGGTTCGAATCCCAGGAATGGTCATGTTTTTTTTCTTAATCTAACTTGATGGTTCCTTCCTTGGGGGATGATATATAGGAGGCCGGACTCGACCCGTGATTCCATTATAATATATTAAATAATAAGGGTCTTAAAACATTCTAATAAATTTTGATCGGTATTTAGCAAATTAGGTTGGTATTTAGAATATTTCCATACATTCACTTGGTAGTAAGCATCATCCCAAAAAAATATCCAAACGATCTTATATTTATTATTTTTTATAAAATAAATAAATAAATAATAAATATTAAAAAAATATAAATAAAAAAAAATATTAAAAAAAAATAAATAAAAAAAAAATATTAAAAAAAAATAAATAAAAAAAACGCAAGATCTATAATAGTGATGTTAAAAGTTACTTTTGAAACATAACTAGTTACAGTTACATTGGCAAAAACATAACTAGTTACAGTTACTAGTTACATTTTTACAAAATTAACTAGTTATTAGTTATAGTTATTTTCAAAAGTAACTAGTTACTTACTTTATACATCCTTCATATGCGCATTATTTATTTATTGAATGCATTTATTTAATATAAAAAAAATTAGGATAAACAAAGTATAATCAGTTATTTAAAATAATATACAATTTATTTATATAAAAAAATATCGCAAAATTGAATATTTACATCGAATATAAAAATATATATTTGCATTGAAAAAAAAACATTTATTTTTCATAAAAATTAGAATCTAAAAAATGTTTATTTGCTTTTAACAACAAATTAATTTCAAAGTTATTATCTAGGAGACGTGCTCGTTTATCTCCAAAAATGAGCTTACCTAGACTGAATAAGCCCTCTACGGGAGCACTTGATGTTAGAACAACATTATATTTAATAAAGAGTAATTTTAACTTTGGAAAATCGTTATATAAAGAAAAAGTGTTGTTATTAGATTTAATAAAGTTTTCTATAAGTTCATTATCCAGAATATTTTGGCGCTTTAGGTCAAAAAATCCAACTACATCAAGTGATGTTGGTTTTGAGCATGATTCATTCGTCTGGGATTCACTTTGAGGTATTAAGGTATTTATTAAATTTAAAATTTCCTCCTTTTTTGCTTTATTCCTTTCTTGCCTAATCCAAGGCCAGTCAGTTTTAGATAAAGGGTAAAGAATTGCAGCAATGATGTTGTCATTATCATAAAGATTATTAAACTTATAACATGATATTATTAATTTATAAATAATTATTTGATTTTAGTTACCTTTTTTCAATACTAGCTATATAGTATCCTTAGAGGTTGACAATATTTTAATCTTTGCACATCTGCCATACATATAAGTATTTGTGTTATTGTTGGGAACAATCAGACATTTTCACAAAATTTTAAATTAATAAATTTAATTTAAAAAATAAATTTAATTTAAAATTAATTTAACACAACATATTAAAAATAAAATTAATTATTTGAATATATCTTTAAAAGTAACTAGTTACTTTTAGCAGTTACATTTCAAAATTTTTAACTAGTTACAGTTACTAGTTACAATTTTAAAAATATAACTAGTTACAGTTATTTTTTAAGGTAACTAGGGTAACTAGTTACAAAAAATAACAAAGAAAATGATTAATGAGATATTTGATTGATTTGTTGCTTTTTTTAGAGAAAAAATTTTAAAATAACATTTCATTATAATATAATAAAAATATGGAAATTTTAAAATTTTTTTAATAATTCTTTGAAATAATTTGCACTTTTTAAAAATTAATTTTATTATATTATAAATTAATATTTTTAATTAAATTAATATTTGGTTATGATTTTATATATTAAGTAAGTATAAATATATTGTAATTACTTGATAAAGAAGTAAATGAGAAATATAAATTTTTTAAGATATTTTTAATTTGAGAATAATATTCAAAATTACGTTTAAGATGTTAGCCTTTCCCCTATAAAATGCTTTCGCGTCAAAAAAATTATCCTTTGAACCGGAAACGTAAAAAGCGGTTTTGGATAGAGAATTAAATTCTGAGTTCAATGATATAATTATATTTAAAATTACGTTTGAGATGTTAGCCTTTCCCATCTTAAACGCTTTCGCAAATTAAAAAAATCCTTAAAAATTTATATTTCTCATTTATTTCTTTATCAAGTAATTACAATATATTTATACTTACTTAATATATAAAATCATAACCAAATATTAATTTAATTAAAAATATTAATTTGATTAAAAATATTAATTTGATTAAAAATATTAATTTAATTAAAAATATTAATTTGATTAAAAATATTAATTTAAAAATTAATATAATAAAATTAAATTTTAAAAACCGCAAATTATTTCAAAGAATTATTAAAAAAATTGAAAAGATCTTAAAATTTCCATATTTTTAATATTATAATGTAATGTTATTATAATATTTTTTCTCTAAAAAAAGCAATATATCAATCAAATATCTCATTAATCATTTTCTTTGTTATTTTTATTTTCAATATTATTTTTTAGCCTTTCGTATTATCAAGCCTTTCGACTTATAGACCTACCCAAAAAAAAAAATTAAAAAAGAAATAATATTAAAAATTTCCCCGTGATTCAGTGAGTTACCAAAATATTATATCATAAATCGAAACCTTTCAAACTAAATTATTGTAGTAAATTTTTCGCAATATTATATATTAATATTTCTTGCTGACAAATAATGGATAACTACAAAATGGTGCTACAGTAATATTTAATAATAAAAGACACTATAAAATATTATATCATAAATGTAAATCGAAACCTTTAAAACTAAATTATCGTAGTAGGCTTGTATTCTATATATTAATATTTCTTTCTGATAAATAATGGATAACCAAACTACAAAATGACGCTACAGCTGATTACAATGTGAGGACCAATGACATATATACTTTATTGGTGAGGACACTTTTATAATGCATTTAATGAATGAATCGCCAATCTTTGATTTTAATTATGAAACGAAAAGTAAAGTAATATAATAATTATGTATAAAACATTAATCTTTGCAATTATAATATTCTCAAAAACAACAAAAAATATTTTTATAAAACGAAAGTTAATATAAGTCACACTCACAATAATATAATCTTGTAATTTATTATTTAAAGTTAAACAAATAGGAAATAAATAATATATTTTAAATAATCAATGTGTAAAATAATTAATAATAATAAAATGCGCAATAAATAATTTATGTTATTCCAGCATGTATAGTGTACTTTAGACAATTATTCATTCACCAAAAAATTTATATATATTCATTTATATGAAAATCAATACAATATGTTATATTAATTTGTAATTCAAAAGTTTACTCCAAAATTGTTTCAAATTTACGGTTGATCTACATGTTGGAATTTATTTCCTTTTTAAAATATAATAATAAATTATTATGGATTATATAATATATTAAAGATTTTTTCTTTAAAGTTTATCATTTCAAGAGCTAGTAAAAAGATATTAGTTTATTTAGTTAATATATCCTTACTTTAATGCTTATATTAACAATTTGCACTAAAATATTATGCATCAGATTTATATAAAATATAGGAAGAGAGATTGTTTTATTAATATTAATATGTAAAGTAATTTTACGAAAATCGTTTAATTTGTGTTAATTTTGTATTTTATTTTAAAAAATTATTTGAATTAAATATCAAATAAATGTCAACTCCAGCCAGACGAAGACTCATGAGGGATTTTAAAAGGTAAAATTTACACTTTTAACTTACGATTATCTAAATTAATTGGCAAAAAATTTGATATGTGCAAAATTTAGCTTTTCTTGGCTTCAAATAGTACTTCATAATTTGTGCAATTTATTAGGTGGCTTGAATTAGATAAATGGTTAAGATATACTATTTATAAAGGTTTTATATTCATATTTTCACAACTAAGTTGTTTGTAAAGGATAATTACACTACTTATATTTATTACTATGTAAAAGATCCATTATAAATTTCTATCATATGCTTCTAATTTATTATATCAACCTTATTTTACATAATAAAATTTTAAATTATGCCACTAAAATAAAATTAATATAAAGTATTTGATCTTGAAAATTAAAAAAATATATGGAATTAAATTTTATAAAAACATAAAATATTTTTGACATTTTAAATATTAAAAAAATGTCCAAGGAAATTGTAAAAATGTGTATATAAAATATTTTTTAAATATTAAAAATTAAAAAAAAGGGATTATTTTTGGTCTTACTTATATTACCATCAATATAGCCATGATTTTACTCTGATGTGGTGGGTATTTTTAGATTGGGTTTTATCCATAAATTTTATTGAAGACCAGGTTCATTTATTGCAGGCCTTTGACTATACCATTTTTCTAATATTATTGGTTTGTCATTTTATTTATAAAAATGTTTACCTACCAAAAAATTTGAATTATAGTGATTGTCTTAAAAAATTAACTTTTACTTATATTTTATTCAAAATATTTATTAGGGATGCATTTTTTGGAAGGGGGTGGGGTGTGAAGGTGTGTTTAGTATGACATTATTAACTTAAAATGATAATTACAAGAACAGACAAATTCCTGAAAGTTAAGATGAGGATAATTTGTATGACAATAATCTATTGTTTTATTTCATGCATTACACAAGTTTCCAGTATTAATTTAACAAAATATTTTTTGATGGCTTCCTATTCACTTATGGGATTATTTTGAATTGGATTTGCCAAGCTCTAATTTTGCAAAATGTAAAGTGGGCTCATGATAAAATTTTAGAGGGGGAAAATCTCAAAAGACATAACTATCAACTTGAGGAAGCACATCGAGACATTTGCACCTTTATTAACTAAAGAAAATATATAAAAAAATGTAAGAGAATCAAATTAAAATAAAAACTTCTAAATTTAACCAAATAACATTGCCAGGACTGATAAATAAACCGAAAATATGGGACATTGAAAACCCTATTAACTAAAGAAAATATATAAAAAATGTAAAAGGATAAAATTAAAATTAAACTTCTAAATTTAACCAAATAACATTGCCAGGATTGATAAATAAATAGAAAATATGGGACATCGAAGAACCTAGATCCATAGCCATATCACAACTTATCAACCATATGATAGCATTTTAATCAGCCATTTTTGATTTTAGAGGATATTGGATTTAATCGACTAATAAATCATTTATGTGAAAATTACAAAATCCCTTCTAGAAATTATTTTTCTGAAAAATTAACTAATTCTTATGCTAATGCTGTTAAAGCTAAAGAGAAGTCTAATAACATTACCACTGAAAATTGCCCATATTCCCTTGAGATTTAAAACTATCTCAATGAACCAGTACCATTGAAATATAGGCTGTGAATTGCCATAAATATCCAACTCTCTCGAAACTTGCTCGTAAATAGCAACACCTGTTAGAAGCATCTCACCAGAATCTGTTTTTAGTGAAGCTAGTGATACGGTTCCTATAGACGCATGTTGACCTCTGATAAACTTGAAATTCTGGTATTTCTGAAAAGAAATCCTCAATAAATTAATTATAATTATTTAAAATTTCATAAATATTTGTTTATTACTTATTAATGTAATTAGATTAATGTTATTACTTATTATATAATAAGTGATTTATCAATAAAAATATTTTATATACTTTTAGAATTGCAATTGAATTGAATATAAACTATAACTAATCAATAATATATTTAAATGATATATGTTATACTATAGTTAAATTATAGATGTTATACTAATAAAAAGTATATTAAAAATTAAAACATTGGTATTTTTACAGAATACAAAATTAGATATATTGGATTGGTAATTGGCCATATCAATTTAATATCGGATTGGCCTCCAAAGTGGTATCGGTACACCCTTACTATTGATAATTCAAAGCAGTCATTATTCTTACTATAATTATTTCAAAAAGAAAGAAAAGATCAAGGCAATGCAAAATATGGCATTACTAAATTGTGGATTATATATTGTGTGAATTTATATATAATAAAACCAAAACCTTTATCTTGAAAAAAAATTTATGCATATATTTTAATGAAAACTAGTATGGTTAAAAATTTGTTAAAATGGTGAGGCATTCTACAAAATTTCATTGAAGATATCTGAGTAAATAGCACATCAGGTAAAAGCTTGTCCCTAGGAATCAATTGGACCCATTGTGAATTTTCTCCCTCAAAATGAATGCATGATGCACAAATTCATTACCTCAAAAAAAGAATGTGCCAACATCACCTAACATAATGATGCATTACATACTCTTTAATTCCTTTCAGCTAGAAAATTATTTTACAGAAAAAATTAGTTATGATTCTATCAAAAATTATTAATAAATTGTAAATTTTGCCTAGTGTATGATTAACATAAGAAAAAATGAGAGTATAACTGACTTGTTAAGGAAAATTGGAAATATGAGAAGAAAATAATGCTTGAATGTCTATACATTAATTTTCAACATGTTAATTGTAATATTTTTGAAATTGACCTACATTTTTAAATTTTAGGCCCAGCTTGAATCTTTAAAATCACACCAATATCAGGCTTTTACCTGGGCTGTAGGATTTTGATACATATTGTTGGCAGAGGATTATACTATGCCAAGTTCGCTTTTTTGAAAATATTGATTAAGTATAAATTAGAGATACACTGCTACTCATGGTATTAATAAAATGGTTAAAATCGCCAATTTACAGGCTTTCATATGGGCTGTAGGATTCTGCTACATATTGTTGGCAGGGGATTATACTATGCCAAGTTCGCTTTTTTGAAAATATTGAATAAGTATAAATTAGAGATACACTATGCTACTCATGGTATTAGTAAAATGTTTAAAATCGTCAATTTACAGGCTTTCATCTGAGCTGTAGGATTCTGCTACATATTGTTGGCAGAGGATTATGCTATGCCAAGTTCGCTTTTTTGGAAATATTGATTAAGTATAAATTAGAGATACTGCTACTCATGGTATAAGTACAATGTTTAAACATCAATTTACAGGCTTCCATCTGGGCTATAGGATTATGCTACATATGTTGGCAGAGGATTATGCTACATATGTTGGCAGAGGATTATGCTATGTCAAGTTCGCTTTTGAATATATTGAATAAGTATAAATCAGAGATGCACTCAGAGTCGGGCAGGTCCTCTTGAATAAGAATCTAGATACAGATACAGATTCTTTGTGAAAAAATGAATCTTAGATACAAATACTAGTATCTTTTTCAAAATATCAAAAAGATAAAAGATACTTGTATCTTTTACTTAATTAGAGTATCTTAAATACAAGATACTTTTAAATTATCATTGCCAATTAAATTAGAATAGCTTATAAAATACAATTTTTACTATTTATTTGTGAAGAACATTACATAAACATATAACAAGAATGAATATTTACAATAATTTATAAAACATTTAATAATGAGTTAATTATAATAATCAGGCATTTTAATATTAGTATTAGCCCATCCTTACCATAGAATAAGAAGGGAGACTAGTATTTTTAATTGGAGTTTAAATATTAATTTGCAGAGTATTTAAAATACATTCATTATAAGACAATCAAATTTTTCAATAGATCTTTGTCATTTCGGCGTACTTAACATTGTACCAAAATTAATTAACCCTAATTGGAGCTGATGAAGGTATTACAGTATTATATGTATAAAAAATTTCCTTAATGGAAGGATAATAATTAAGCATTTATAATATATTTCGACTTAATATAATTTAAAACCTTCAGCTCAATATTATTTGTATTATTGAACTCAGCATAGAAAAAATAATCATCATTTGATCTTGATTATATACTCTGATACTACATCTAGGGCTTCTTTTATTAAGATATTTTGAAATTATTTTTTTTTATTATCCGACTCAATCGATAAGTTCTTAAAGATTTTGATATCAAAAAAACCACATTATATTCAAATCATAGGAAAATATTTTCTTAAAATCTTTTGCCCATACCATCTTAGGCAGCTTTTAATAAAGGTAGACAATATTGTAAACTTGAATTTTTAAGATAATAACTACACATAAATAATATATTTTATTATGTTTAACAAAATTTGTGTTTAATTTATCATTTTTTTGTTAATACAAGTTTTACATCTAGCCTGTAAATTGTCTTTTTTAACTTTTATTTTAAAAAAAATTTCCATATAAAATTTCAAGATTGGGATATAATTTAGGGGAACTTATTTCTATAAATAAATTTCACACCATGAGTGGTAATCTCCCTACAAATTAAAAATATTGCATAAAATTGGTAATGATATTCTATCGAGGTACATTTATATATAAAATATAATCTATACTTATTTCGTTTTGGTGTTATTTTTTATCTTTCCCTTAATATGAGTTGTTAATTTTACAGGTAAATTTAGCTGTCAATATATTAAAATATGGCAGAAAAAAATATGGAAATTAATACAAGATTTTCGAAGAAAATAAAATATATACTGTGATATGTAAAATAACATGAATATTAAAAAGAATCTGTATCTTTAGTCAAGAAAATGAAAAAGATACAAGATTCTTTTCAGAATAAAGGATCTTAGATACAGATACTAGTATCTTATTAGAAATGTCAAAAAGATACTGAGTACAAGATAAAAGGATCTTGAACACGGTACTGCCCAACTCTGGATGCACTGCTACTCATGTGGTATTAGTACAATGTTTAAGATCGTCAATTTACAGGTTTTCATCTG